CCTGCCTCAGCCTCCTGAGTAGCTGGGATTACAGCCACGCGCCACTGTGCCCAGCTAATTTTTTGTATTTTAGTACAGATGAGATTTCACTGTGTTGGCCAGGATGGTCTCGATCTCCTGATCTCGTGATCCGCCCACCTCGGCCTCACAAAGTGCCAGGATTACAGACATGAGCCACTGTGCCTGGCTGCTGCCCCTGTTTTATGAGCCGCATGACACCATGCTAGGGATGACACCTTGAAGACAGAACCGCATTCAGAAACTAGCCTTTCCTCTTACTAGTTGTGTGGCTTCTGCTAATCACTCCATCTCTTGGTGCTTCAATTTCTTCACTTCTCAGATGGGGATAAAAATCCCCACTGTACAAGGATTTGCTGAAAACAAGAGCCAGCAGGCAGGTAGCACTTGCTCTGGGCCAGGTGCTGTTCCAACATGCCCTGATTTATTTGTACTTCCCAGCACTCCTACAAGACTAGTTTCTCATTTGCACGGGGCACATTTCCAAGTGCCCTTCTAGGAGGCGTTACAGGTTGCCTGTCCCTTTATCTGAAATGCTTGGGACCAGAAAGGTTTTGGATTTCAGATTTTTTTTTTCTTTTAAGGCAGGGTCTCCCTCTGACACCCAGGCTGGAGTGCAGCAGCATGATCATGGCTCGCTTTAACCTTGACCTCCTGGGTTCAAGTAATCCTCCTGCCTCAGCATCCCAATTAGCTGGGACTACAGGCAAGCACCACCACACCTGGCTAATTAAAAAAAGTTTTTTTAGTAGTGATGGGGTCTCAGTTTGTTGCCCAGACTGGTCTCAAACTCCTGGGCTCAAGCGATCCTCCTGCCTCAGCCCTCAAAGTGCTGGGATTACAGGCATGAGCTACCACACCTAGCTTGAATTTTTTCCGAGTTTGGAATATTTGCATTATACTGATCAGTTCAGCATCCCTACTCCAAAATGCTCTACTGAGCATTTTCTTTCCTTTCTTTCCTTCCTTCCTTTCTCTTTTTCTCTCTTTCTTTCTCTCTTTCTCTTTCTTTCTCTCTTTATCTTTCTCTCTCTTTCTCCCTCTCTCTCCTTCCTTCCTTGCTTTTCTTTCTTCTTTGCTTTCCTTTTCCCTTTCCCTTTCTTTCATTTTCCTTTCCTTTCTCGCTTTCCTCCCCACCTCTCCTCCGCTCCCTCCGCGATCCCTTCCACTCCTTCTCCACCCCCTTGAAGTCGTCCCCTCCCTCTCTCCCTTCCTCCTGCGCCGCTCTCACCCTTCCACATTTCCTTTCGAGATGGGGTCTCGCTGTATTAATAGCCCAGGCTGGTCTTGAACTCCTGAGCTTAAGTGATTCTCCCACCTCGGCTTCCGAAAGTGCTGGGATTACAGGTGTGAACCACCATGCCCACACCTGATGAGTGTTTTCTGTGAGCATCATGTCGGCACTCCACAAGTTTTGGATTTTGGAGCATTTCAGATTTTGAAATTCTGCATTAGGGCTACTTGACCTGTATTATCATCCCCATTTTACAGATGAGAAAACCAAGTTTCAGAGAGGCTAAGTGACTTGCCAAGGTCCTTCAGCCAGTAGCCGGTGCAGCAGGATTTTGAACCCAAGCAGTCTGGGCCCATAACATGTATGGTGTACAATTCAAAAAATACTAGTCGTTTTATTATTTTATCATGTGGAAAGACAATAAGATGACACCATCAAGTTATGTTTTTAGAAGAAAAATATCACCTACTACCCGAATACCACGCCTGGTAGCAATGTTTTTTGTTTGTTTGTCTGTCTGTTTTAAGACAGTCTCACTCTGTCATCTAAGCTGGAGTGCAGTGGCTTGATCCCAGCTCACTGCAGCCTCAACCTCCTGGGCTCAAGCAATCCCCCCACCTTGGCCTCCAGAGTAGCTGGGACTATAGGCGTGCACCACCCCATGCCTGGTTACCTGGTAGCAGTTGAGTCTTATTTCCTTCTTGGCTTTTTTCTTAAGTGTGGTTTCTATTTGTTGGCGATTTTGCTTTGTGGTAGAGTCGTGTTCACCCTGCACCCACATGGGACTTTCTTAGCTTAAAATGGAGAACATGGCACCACCTGTCTGATGGGGCTGATGTGAGGATGAAACCAGGTAGGGCATGGAAAGCCCTTGCTTTGGTGTTAAATACACAGGGGTGCTGTGTATTTAATATATTCCTCCTGCAAAAAAAGGAGGGGCTGGGTGCAGCGGCCCACACGTGAAGTCCCAGCACTGTGAGAGGCACAGGCAAGAGGATTGCTTGAGCTCAGGAGTTTGAGACCAGCCTGGGCAACAAAGCGGGACCCCATCTCTACACAAAAATACAAATATTAGCCAGGCACGGTGGCATGCACCTGTAGTCCTGGATATTTGGGAGGCTGAGATGGGAGGATCGCCTGAGCCCAAGGAAGTCAAGGCTGCAGTGAGCCAAGATCATGCCACTGCACTCCAGCCTGGGCTGGACAGAGTGAGACACCCTCTCAACAACAACCACCACAGCAACAACAAAAAAAAGGAGAGCTCTTTGACTCCCACCCCTCCCTCTCATTTGCCCTCTAATTAGCACTGCCCAGCAGAACACTCTGCCGTGATGAGAATGTTCTGTGCAGAGGTCAGCAAATTTCTATAAATGTCCAGATAGTAAATGTTTCCAATTTTGTGGTGTTTATGTGGTTTCTGTTGCTGTTGCTCCTCCTCCTCTCTCTCCTCTTCCTCCTCCCTTCACCCTCTTCCCTTGATAAAACTTACAAACCATTCTTAGTTCAAGGGTGCTTTGAAAACAGGCCCTGGGTTGGATTGGGCCATCATTTGGCCGCCCCCTCCTAGATGTGCACTGTCCGGTACAGTAGCCACTGGTCACGTGTGGCTTCTGGGCACTTGTAGTGTGGCTAGTGCAGATGAGAAGCTGGATTCTTAATTGTATTTAATGTTACCTAAGGTGAGTTTAAATAGTTATGTGTGGCTGGGAGCTGCATGTTGGATACACAGCTCCAAGTGACTGACAGCCCTGTCCCATTGCTCTGAAAGGGCCTGTGTTCCCTGGAGGGGGATGGCTGCGCTCACGGGCCATGGGAGCTGCCTGGCTGGCAGGCCACTTGGGCTCGCTGGCATTTCAAGAGCTGTCTGAGGGCAGCTGGGCGAGCCATCCTGCCTCTGAAAGAGCTTCCAGCGCCTGCTTCCTAATTGGTTTTATTTATGCCAAGAGAGCAGGCCTCACATCATTGGCCGCCTATGTTCCAGGAGTGCCGGGGCTTGAGTGTCTGTAGTTTGGGGGTGGCCTGCTGGGGGGGTCTGGGTTGCTGTGGTTACACCTTGGTTCCCTTTTCCATCTGGGTTTAGATGTCCTCATTGGCCTGATATTTCAGGAATAGGAAAATGGTATGGAGAAAAGGAGTGAGTGAATAGGAAGGAATGGAGGACCAAGAAATGCAGTCAACAGCCTGCAGCCTGTTTATTGCCATCATGGCATAAATAATAAAAGCTGAGTTTGTTTGCTTGTTTGTTTTCTTTTTTTTTTTTTTTTTTTTTGAGACACGGTCTTGCTCTGTTGCCCAGACTGTAGTGCAGTGGCACAATCACAGCTTGCTGCAACCTTGACCTCCTGGGCTTAAGCAATCCTCCCATCTCAGCCTCCCAAGTAGCTGGGGCTATAGGCGTGTACCATCACCTGGATAATTTTTTATTTTTTGTAGAGACTGTGTCTCCCCCTGTTGCCGAGGCTGGGTCTCGAACTCCTGGGCTCAAGCGATCCTTCTGCCTCTGCCTTCCAAAGTGCTGGGATCACAGGCATGAGCCACCACGCAAAGCCTGGCTGAGATTTAAAAAGCTGAGATTTCAAAGTGTTGTTACCCTGGTTAAAACCTCCTGTTTACAGAATAGGAGAAGTCCCAGAGGAGGGATGTATATAGTCAAGGAGTTGGCCAACTCCAGAGCTGCATTCCAAATCACCCCTACCTCCTGAAACAGGACTGACAGGCGGGAGGTTTAGCTTCAGACTCAGTATGTGAGTCTGTAAAGTGATTTCTCCTTGTGGGCCTCAGTTGTCCCATCTGTAAAATGGGGAAAGGTATGAATTGGACTAAAAATATTCTCTACCCTAAGTGGTAAGATATATATACACACACACACATATACACACATATGTGTGTGTGTGTATGTGTGTGTGTGTATATATATGTGTGTGTGTATATACACACACACACACACACACATATATACCCTGCCCTAAAGCTACAATGATTCCACTTTGGCCTGATTCTGGCTACATGCCAGGACTCATCATGGACACAGCCTTGTTCCTGTAACATGGGAGATTAAGTGTTAGGAAGGTCTGGATGGTGAAACTCTTTTCACCCATTCCTTGGGTAAGTTGCTCTTCCTCTTGGTGTCATGCTTTCTCATCTGTAAAATTGGGATCATCACACTTTCCTTTTATTAGGGTTTGAATGACACAGGTATTTGTGTGGTAGGCATTTGGTCAGTGTTAGGTGGTGATAGTAGGATGTTGTGTTCAATTCCAGGAGGCAGCATATTCATTGTAGGCTGGGCACATGGCACCATTTGGAATTGTGCAGTCCACAACCTGATCAGCCATACCCAGCCATCTCAGGTGGCAATAGTGGTGTGTCGTGGTGGTGGTGGTTGCTTATTGTTAATATTTACTTTTCCTGGAGTCCAAGGTCCCTAGGCCAAGAGGAGGGGAGACGCCTGGTTGGCATAAGCCAGGGGCTCCCTAAGGCAGCAATGCCTTAGCTCAGACTTCACCTCACATCTCTCTGCCTGAGAAGTGAGCCAGTTCATTCCCTGTAGGAGCAGGTAAATTGAGACTCCAGCTGTTGTATCTTGAGCTGAAGTGGCCTCCCCTGCATTCCAGAGTCCTTCTCCCAAATGTCACTGTCTGGTGTTCTTGAGATCCTAAACCCTCACTCTGCCTCTTTGAAGGGGCCAGGGACTTGGCCCCTCTCCACGGTGCCCATCCCTGATGCAATATCTCCTTTGCCTCTCCAGGGCTCTGCCAGCAGACAGCCTTGGCACACAGGCACAAGAGCTGGAGCCCAGAGATGAGAATGCCCACAGGAGGTAAGTACACCCAGAAGGAACTTCCGCTGGAGTCCTGGCCCCTCCTGAGATCACCCTCCAAAAGTCCCCTCCGTGCCCCCAGCCTCCATGACTGGGCACCTGGGCGAACTCCCCTGGCTGGTTTTCACCTTTCTGTTCAGCCAGCAGGTTGGAAATCTGGTACTAGAAAAAGCTGCATCCCAGCAAGCACCATAGAGAGACGAGCATCTTCTTTGTCTCTTAGGAAGACGATTCTCCAGGTGATAGGAGAGAGAAGGCTGAGTCTCGAAGTGGGCGTGGGACTTGCCCAGTGTCACAGAGCAGATGCAAGGCATAGCCAGAACCCAAACCCTCTTGTGTCCCGTTCTGCTGACATTAGTGTTTTGGGTATGCTTTCTCAGCACCCCACAGGAGTTCCCTGGCCTTCCGAATAGCTTCCTTGAGAAAAGGGTATTATTATTCCTTTTTTGGAGAAGAAAGTAGAAGCTCAGAGAAGTGATATCTTTTGTCCAGATCACCAGCTGGCAAGTGGCAGAAGCGAGATTTGAACCTGGGAGTGTAGTACTCCAAGTTAGAAGCCCTCACCCATCATCCTCAAGAGGATGCCAGGACGCCTCCCTTGCCAGGGTCCAGCAGGGTGATGAGGGGGTCGGGCAGGCCTAGTTCCCTGGGCTGGGCCCTCTAGCTCCTCCCAGAGTGGGATCCCTAGCTCTGGGTAACCAGGAAGCTATACTTTCTGCTTTGTGGGTTCCAGGCTGCTTTCTGTGTCCCAAGTCACCCTGCTTTTTTCTTTTTAAGCCGTCCTGCAGGTCGTTGCTGTCTTCTGCTCACTTCTGACTTGCCTGCTTTGAGCTCTTTTCTTCAGCCTTGGCCTGGTCTGATCAAGGACTGCCACTCTGGCCGTGCAACCTTGGACAAGCTGCTTCATCTCTTTGAGCTTAGATATTGCAGGGAAAATGCTTTAGCAGAGTTTATGCTCCATAAATGCAAACACCTTTGCTGAACATAAAATGCTGAAGCTGGCCGGGTGCACTGGCTCACACCTGTAATCCCAGCACTTTGGGAGGCCGAGGCGGGCAGATCACCTGAGGTCAGGAGTTCGAGACCAACCTGGCTAACATGGTGAAACCCCAACTCTACTAAAAATACAAAAAAAATTAGCCAAGGTGGGGACGCTGTCACTGAAATCCTAATAACTGACAGAATTCTAGTCACAGGTCTCGGGAGAATTTCACTGAGCTTCTGATGAAGAGAAGGGGTCATTGCAGGGATTTCTGAATGGCTTCATGTCCTGTTCAGCCTGCCTCCCCCCAGGAAGTAGCCCTGAAATAGCTTTCCCCATCGCAGACTCTGAATCGAGGGTACAAATGAAGCCCCAGCCTCTTCAGCAGAACTTCATCAGCACGTTTTTCTGAAGAGAGGGAAATTAACCAAGGCACAGAGAGGCCAGTGACCCCAGCCTGAGATCCATCTCTGCTTTGTCAGCTGCTTCTCACGTTTTCACAGCAGCCTCTGAGGTCCGTGGATCCACCCTGATTTTGCAGCTGAAGAGACTGTGGCTAAGATGGGGGAAGTGACTCTCCCAAGCCACACGGCCAGGAAGTCCTAGTCTCTTAGCAGTTTCCACCCCAGGCCTGAGACTGTGTTCCTTCCCTTTTGATGGTTATTTTCTACCTGCTATAGCCTGAGAGGGCCCAGGCAGCCCAAGCCCTTGCAGGTGGATAGGCCCAGCCACAGACTGGGTCCTTGGGTGGTTTTGGGTGGAACCTCACATCCAAAGAGGCGTGCTGTCTTCCCACGGGCTTCCACCAGACCCTCCATTCACTAAGTCACTCTCAGTTCCCCAATCATGCTGCGTCGTTTCCTGCCTGTGGCTCTGCACTGGCTATTCCCTTTGCTGGGAACGTCCTTCTTTCCCTTCTCCACCTGCCTGTTTCCTACCCACCGCTCAAAATTCTGCATGAAGGCTACCTCCTGCAGGAGGCCTTCCCTCACCTAGGCAGGTAGAACCCATCAGTCTCTCTCAGGCACACGTCCATAGTAAGAGTAGACTTGGGAGGCTGAGGCTCCCAACACATAGCGGGTGCCCATTACATGTTGGAATAAGTAAATAACCAATGATTATGGCAGAAATCACTAATATTCTTGGGCCAGATGGGGTAGCTCATGCCTGTAATCCCATCATTTTGGGAGGCTGAGGTGGGAGGATCACTTGAGGCCAGTAGTTTGAGACCAGCCTGGGTCACAGAGTGAGACTCTTTCTCTACAGAAAAAAAAAAAGAAATTGCTATTATTCTTTCCATTGCTCCCTATGTGCTGGGCACCTCCTTAAATATTTTCCATATTGAGGGTTGCTTACTACTCATAACAGCGCTTTGAGGTTGACACTCTTAGGCCCATTTTCTAGATGAGGCTCAGAGGAGTCCCTTGCCCAGGCTCATTCAGCCAGGAAGTGGCAGAGCTGGGATTTGAACCCGGCTTACCTGACTCCTTGAATGACCAGAGACTTCAGCCCTCACTTTGCTTCTGGAAAGAGGTAAGAGGGGCAGTCAGGGAAACTAAGCCTCGGAAACACAGCAAGGGTGAGGCAGAGAATGGCTGGGGCAATCTGAGATTGGCTGAGTGTCCCTCCAGGGCCAGGGTCTGCACCGTCTGCATTGGGCTCAGGTTGCAAAATCAGGGGATTTTGGGGGTGATCTGGGAAGGAAGGCGGATCTGTCACTGAGGGATGTGACAGAGGGTGTGGCCTTGCTTTTTAAAATGAGCCCTTACCTGAAAAATTGCCACTGAAGTCTGATCTTCTTTATCAGCAACTCCTGGGAGGGGCGAGGAGCCCAGGCTCAGGAGCACCATTCTGTCCTAAGTTGTCCTCTCCCTTCCTTCCCCAATCATCCTCAAAGGTCCGGCACCCCTGAGCCTACCCAGGACACGGGCAGGAGCCTCCTGCATGGCCTCCTGATCTCCATCCTCACCCCTCAGGGGCTGTCTATAGAGTGAGTCCAGCTCCTTCCCTTGTTCCTGAGGACCTGCCTGGCCTCGCCCCATCTTTCCCTCTCCCCCTCTAGCCCCAGCAGCCTCTTCTCAGTTTTTTTTTTTTTTATTTTTTTGAGACAGGGTCTAGCTCTGTTGCCTAGGTTGGAGTGCAGTGGCCCAGTCATAGCTCCCTGCAGCCTTGACTTCCCAGGCTCAAGTGATCCTCCCATCTCAGCCTCTCAAGTAGCCAGGACTGCAGGCAGGCACTACCATGCCCACAGAGACAAGGTCTCACTAAGTTGCCCAGGCTGGTCTCAAGCTCCTGGCCTGAAGTGATCTTCCCACTTTGGCCTTCCAAAATGCTGAGATTACAGGTGTGAGCCGCCACTCTCAGCCTCAAGTTCTTGAAGACCTCACACTCTTTCTCATCTGAGGGCCTTTGCACTCTCTGTTCTCTCTGCTTGTAACACCCTCCCCACATGCAAAGACATGGCCGGCTCCTTCTCATCCTGGTCTTGGCTTGGATACCACCTCCTTCAGGAAGCCTCCCCTGACTACCTTCCTCCTTCCCCTCCTTGGTTCCTCTCACAGTGTCCTGTTCATTTCTTTGAAACAGTTGTCACAGTTTGTCCATACCTTGTGTATTATCTGCGTCTCCTGCTGGGACCTAAGCTCCTTGAGGTCAGAGTCCTGGCTGTCTTGTCCATTGTCCTGTTTCCAGCACCAAACACAGTGCCTGGCACTTTAGTGAATGAAGAATAAATGATGGAATGATGATCCTGGAAGAAGTGTAGACCAGGATATGCTCAGCCTTCTCCTGAAAAAATGTTTTCCTTGGAGGCAGAGTGGTGATTTAAAGCAGAGCTGGCTGGTCTGGGTTTGAACTGTGGACCCTGGTTTGGCTGCTTCCCAGCTGGGCAACCGAGCAACTTTTCTGTACCTTAGTTTCTTCTCTCTACAATGATGATTTCATAGCACTTAATCTGTGCCAGGCTCGGCTCATTCAGGCTCTGCTGATTTTGAGACAGGGTCTTGCTCTGTGGCCTAGGTTGGAGTACGGTGGCCCAATCATAGCTTACTGCAGCCTTGACTTCCCAGGCTCAAGTGATCCTCCCATCTCAGCCTCTCAAGTAGCCTCTCAAGGTGCCTTCCAGAAATATTTATTGAGCAACTACTAGGTGTCGGGCACCGTGCTAAGAGTTGAGGGGTACAGCAGTGAACAAAACCAGCAAAACTCCCTGCCCTCATAGAGCAGACCTGCTGGAATCTGACATTATATATTTTGATAGTAAATGTTATAATAATGATCACTGTCTCCATTGATCCAATGAAACAGCTGAGGGATTAAGGAACCTGCCAAGGTCCCACAGCTAGGAAGTGGAGAGAAGGATTTGAACTTAGGCTGCCAGGCTGTAGCATCCCTTGGGCTGATAACAGTACCTCCCTTCCTAAGGTTGTTGGAAGATCCCATGAGTTAAGATAGGTAAAGTGGCTGGACACTGTGGCTCACCCCTGTAATCCCAGCACTTTGGAAGGCCGAGGTGGAAGGATTGCTTGAAGCGAGACCCTGTTTCTAAAAATTAGCCAGGTGTGGTGGTGTGTGCCTGTAGTCCCAGGTACTTGGGAGGCTGAGGCAGAGGACTGCTTGAGCCCAGGAGTCCGAGGCCGCAGTGAGCTGTGATCTCACCACTCAGTGCACTCCAGCATTAAAAAAAAAAAAAAGACCGGATGGCTCATGCCAGTAATCCCATCACTTTGGGTAGGAGGTAGGAGGAGGTAGGAGGATCACCCAAGCCCACGAATTCAAGAGCAGCCTGGGCAACATGGTGAGACCCCGTCTCTTTAAAAAACAAAAAAATTTTTTAAAGTGCCCAGTAGGGTGCCAGGCACACAGCTAGTGTTTATGAAAGTTGCCCTCTGCATTCATGTCAGCAGTTTGCAGTTATAGGGCTTTGCAGTTACTGGAGAGCTCACAGCTCATAGACCTTCCTGACTATGCATGTCCCCCTCTTTCCCCAGATGTGAGCCTGGCGGGCTGCCAGCTAACCTGTCGCTGAAGCCCCAGAAGCGGGTCCTCAGGCCGGGCCTGCCCCGCCTCCGGCCCAGCATGCGCCTGTCGGTGCGGAGGGTGCTGCTGGCAGCTGGCTGTGCCCTGGTCCTGGTGCTGGCGGTTCAGCTGGGGCAGCAGGTGCTAGAGTGCCGGGCGGTGCTGGCGGGCCTGCGGAGCCCCCGGGGGGCCATGCGGCCGGAGCAGGAGGAGCTGGTGATGGTGGGCACCAACCACGTGGAATACCGCTACGGCAAGGCCATGCCGCTCATCTTCGTGGGCGGCGTGCCGCGCAGTGGCACCACGTTGATGCGCGCCATGCTGGACGCCCACCCCGAGGTGCGCTGCGGCGAGGAGACCCGCATCATCCCGCGCGTGCTGGCCATGCGCCAGGCCTGGTCCAAGTCTGGCCGTGAGAAGCTGCGGCTGGACGAGGCGGGGGTGACGGATGAGGTGCTGGACGCCGCCATGCAGGCCTTCATCCTGGAGGTGATTGCCAAGCACGGAGAGCCGGCCCGCGTGCTCTGCAACAAGGACCCATTTACGCTCAAGTCCTCGGTCTACTTGTCGCGCCTGTTCCCCAACTCCAAATTCCTGCTGATGGTGCGGGATGGCCGAGCCTCCGTGCACTCCATGATCACGCGCAAAGTCACCATCGCGGGCTTCGACCTCAGCAGCTACCGCGACTGCCTCACCAAGTGGAACAAGGCCATCGAGGTGATGTACGCCCAGTGCATGGAGGTGGGCAAGGACAAGTGCCTGCCTGTGTACTACGAGCAGCTGGTGCTGCACCCCAGGCGCTCACTCAAGCTCATCCTCGACTTCCTTGGCATCGCCTGGAGCGACGCTGTCCTCCACCATGAAGACCTCATTGGCAAGCCGGGTGGTGTCTCCCTGTCCAAGTGAGTGGAGCCCCTGATGCTTCCACTCAGACTCCGGCCCTGGAGTCAGAGGCACCAGGCGAGAAAATCAGCACTGCCTCTCCTGAGCTGTGTGGCCTTGGGCAAGTCACTATATCTCTCTGAGCCTCTGTTTCATTATCCCCAAAAATGACAATGACCCCTCTCCTTTCTGAGAGAATCTGCAGACTTCGTGGGCTGTTTGTTTTTTGAGACAGTGTCTCAGTCTGTTGCCCGGCTGGAGTGCAGTGGTGCAATCAGCTCACTACAGCCTCCACCTCCCTGTTCAAGTGATCCTCCCACCTCATCTTCCTGAGTAGCTGGGACTACAGGCATGCGCCACCAAGCTGGGCTAATTTTTGTATTTTTGGTAGAGATGGGGTTTTGCCATGTTGCCCAGGCTGGTCTCAAACTCCTGGCCTCAAGCAATCCTTCCACCTCAGCCTCCCAGAGTCCTGGGTTTACAGGCATGAGCCACCATGCCCAGCCTGGAATCTGCAAACTTTGAATATGCTTTGTAGTAAGGCAATAGTGGGTAAAGGCTAAGAGCTCAGATTCCAGTACAAGGATGTCTGGGTTCAAACCTCAGCTCTGCCACTTCCTAGCTGTGTGATCCTGGGCAAGCGACTCAACCCCTGTGCTTCCATTGCTTCATCTATAACATGGAAATATAATTTTCCCACTTTATAGATACCTGTGGGCATCAAATAGGTTAATACATGTTAGGTGCTATTATTACTGTTTTAGTGTTGATCCTGCTGTTATTGATGGACTACTCATCATCCTCACCATTGCCATTTAATGAGTGCCTACTGTATGGCAAGTATTGGGTTAAGCCCCCAATAAGTTTATCTCCTTTAATCCTTACACCAACCTGAAGACATAGGAACACCTCTTAGCCCCATTTTATAGACCGAAAAACTGAATCTCACAGAGGAGAAGTTACTGGCCTCAGGCTACACAGCTAACAAAGTATGGTGCTGGGATTGGAACCCAGGTCTGTTTTTTGGGTTTTGTTTTTGTTTTTGTTTTTTTGAGACGGTTTCACTCTGTTGCCCAGGCTGGAGTGCAGTGGCACGATCCCAGCTCACTGCAGCCTCGGCCTTTTGGGCTCAAGCTATCTCCCGCCTCAGTCTTCTGAGTAGTTGGGACCAGAGGCAAGCACCTCCACACCTAGCTCATTTTTTTTTTTCTAGTAGAGATGAGATCTCAGTAAGTCTTCCAGGCTGGTCTCCAACTCCTAAGCTCAAGCCATCCTCCTGTCTTGACCTCCCAAGTGCTGGGATTACAGGTGCCTGACCTATTGTGTTCTTAAACTCTCCATGTCCAGAACTCCTCCCATCCTCCCCTTCACTCCCCCTCATCCTTTCCTTTCCTTCCTCCCTCTGTCCCTTCCTCCCTGCCTTCTTCCATTGGAAAAGCTGCTGTCCCTATCCTGAGACCCAGAGCACTTTGAACAATGCTGGAGCAGAGTATGCAGTCTCTGCGCTTTCCCATCCTGATCAGGCTCTGGATATCCTGAGAGCTCAGCCAAAGGATGGTTCTTCCCCATGGCTGGTCCTGCTGGGCCCCTGCCAGACCCAGAGCAGAGCTAGAGTCTCGCAGCTGCTGTCCCCTTGCAATGAAGTACCTGGCATGGTGGCTCATGCCAGGTGCCCCAGCCAGCTGATGCTGGAGCTAGGATTTTATAAATTATTATGACAAAAATATTAGGTTACCAAAGTAATACATCTTTACTGCAGAAAATTAGAAAAGATACACCAAAGAAGAAAGGAGAAACAAGCCGTGATCTCACCACCCAGATGTTCATGCGTGGCCTGCTGCACCATTTTCAGGGCCTATTGATGAAACTGGAGTCCAGTGAAACATACTCCTCTGTAGCCTTTTTCCATGGTGGTATGGGAGCCCTTGCCAGTGGTAGCCAGCACTCTTCGGCAGCAGCATTTGTTGTTGTTGTTGTTGTCATCACAGAGTCTCGCTCTGTCACCCAGGCTGGAATGTAGTAGCGTGATCTCAGCTCACTGCAACCTCCACCTCCCGGGTTCAAGCAGTTCTCCCTGCCTCAGCCTCCAGAATAGCTGGGATTACAGGCACCCGCCACCACACCCTGCTAATTTTTATATTTTTAGTAGAGATGGGGTTTTGCCATGTTGACCAGGCTGGTCTCGAACTCCAGACCTCAGGTGATCTGCCTGCCTCGGCCTCCCCAAGTGCTGGGATTACAGGCGTGAGCCACCGCGCCTGGCCTGCAGCATCATTTTGAATAGCTGTGCAACAGGCTGCTACAGGGATTGCCATATTCAACTTCACATTCCCTATTGTTGGACACTTCATTTATTTCCAGTTTTACTGATGTGTATCAAGCATTGCCCTCATTCATGTTCTGGGATGTGTCCCCCTCATTTCTGCGCCATAAACTCCTAGAGACACAAGGATTTTGGCAAAAGCCATGCACATACTCAAGATTTTTGACATATTGGGTAGAGTTAAGATTTAAATCCAGGTTTGCAGCCTCTGAATCTGTGTTCTACCCACCAGTCCACACCCTTTCACCTTTCCCCATTCTCTTTACCTCACGCCCAGTCTGGTCTTCCTTTTGCTGCCTCATTCTGTTCTTCTTTCCCAAGTCACCTCTTAGTTGGGATGAAAGCATTTAGAACTAGGCCCTTGATCCTGGGGGTTCCCCACCATTCATCCTGTCAGGCCCCTGAGTTATAATTGGTAAGATCCACGTCATTCCGGTGGCTTGGGAAGAGTTTAGGAAGCAGGTTGAAGATGATGGTTATTCCATGGTAGCAGCAAAAAGTTGGAAACAACCAAAATGTCTGTCTTTAGGGGAATGGAAAAATAAGTGATGGAGGAAGGCTACACAGCTGGCAAAAAGAATGGGATACTGAGTGGCGAAAAACACTATAGCGTATTTGTTTTACAGCTGCAGACGTGTGTGTGTGTGTGAGAGAGAGAGAGAGAGAGCGAGCACGAGACAGCGTGCTAACCCTTATTAAGAATTTACAATGTGTTGACTGGGCACAGTGGCTCATGTCTGGAATCCCAGCACTTTGGGAGGCTGAGGTGGGCAGATCACTTGAGGTCAGGAGTTTGAGACCAACCTGGCCAACATGGTGAAACCCCGTCTATACTAAAAATACAGAAATTAACTGGGCATGGTGGTGCACGCCTGTAGTTCCAGCTACTTGGGAGACTGAGGCAGGAGAATCGTTTGAACCCAGGAGGCGGAGGTTGCAGTGAGCCGAGATCGTGCCACTGCACTCCAGCCTGGGCAACACAGTGAGACTCCGTCTCAAAAAAGAAAAAAGAACTTAGAATGTGCCCATGCTTTTCTAAGCACTTTCTTTGTATTAACTCATTTACTCTTCAGAGCACCCCAGTGAGGTAGGTACTGTTACCACTGCCAATTACAGAAGAGGAAATTGAGGCTCAGAGAGGTGAAGTAACTTTCCCAAGGCCACACAGCTGGGGAGCAGCTGGCATTTGAACCCAGGCAGTCTGGCTCCCTGGTCTGCTCTTATCCACCCTACAGGAAAAGGTTACCGAGAGTGGTGTGCTCCACAGTGCAAAGGCTGAGTACCTGTAGGAAGCTGATGGACTGGCAGTGATGAACACATTGGCTTTTAGCTTTATCATTAGTGTTTTATTACTTTTTTTAGGGACAAAATTTTTTTTTTTTTTGAGACAGGGTCTTGCTCTGTTGCCCAGTCTGGAGTGCAGTGGTACAATCACAGCTCAGGCTCACTGCTTCCTCAACCTCCCGGGCTCAAGCAATTCTCCCATCTCAGCCTCCTGAGCAGCTGGGACTACAGGCACTTGTTACCATGCCCAGCTTATTTTTGTAATGGGGTTTCACCACGTTGCCCAAGTTGGTGTCAAACTCCTGAGCTCAAGCAATCCTTCTGCCTTGGCCTCCTGAAGTGCTGGGATCACAGGTGCGAGCCATTGTGCCTGACCTAAACTGTTGTTATTTTTTAAGCTGGAGAACTCAAGAAAGCAGAATGTATGTACCCATGGGTGTATACTGCTAGTACTTTCTTCTGACTTCTCACTGCATGCTGTGTTCCCATTGTACAGAGGAGGTATGAGGAGGCAGAAATGACTCACCTGCTGTCTCACAGTTGATGGGGCAGAGCTAGGTAGAGGCCAAGTTTCTCCAGTCTTTCCTGCTGCCCCAGTGTGGCTGAGCAGGGAACCCGCTCAGGCACCATCTGGGTCTGCCCTGCCCTCTCCAGCCTCTTCTCTCTCCCCAGGATCGAGCGGTCCACGGACCAGGTCATCAAGCCTGTTAACCTGGAAGCACTCTCCAAGTGGACTGGCCACATCCCTGGGGACGTGGTGCGGGACATGGCCCAGATCGCCCCCATGCTGGCTCAGCTCGGCTATGACCCTTATGCAAACCCCCCCAACTACGGCAACCCTGACCCCATCGTCGTCAATAACACACAGCGGGTGAGTGTGCACCTGTACTTGCGGAAGTGTGCTCTTGGGGATCTGGGGTTTTTGCAGATGTGGAAGCTCCAGCCACCTGAGGAAATGTTCAGTCTCTCGATTCCTGGTCATCTGATTTGTTTCTATCTGATGGACACAGTGAACTGCATGATTGCTTGGATTTCCGTTTTGCTTGGGCTACAGGGAAGCTCAAAGTCAACTGGTAGCCTATCTCTCATACTCTAACAGCAGGCCAGCTTGTACACTAATTTCATCTTATTTCTCTAATTTTATTTACACTTTTACCCCTATTTCCCTGGCTATTTGTTTATCTGTTTGTAAAGCACCTCAAGTCTTTGTTGAGAGGGGATATAAATAAATAAGATATTGGTCCCTTTCTTGCCTGATAAGGTTTAATGTTGATTTCTCAGACAAATGTGAGTTTGGGGCTGTTTACATTACGTTTAAAATTATCCTTGGTTAAGGTGGTGAAGGGAAATGACTTTTTTTGTTTTGTGTTGTTTTGTTTGAGACATGGTCTTGCTCTGTTGCCCAAGCTGGGTGCATTGGTGCAGTTATAGCTACTGCAGCCCCATACTTCTGGGCTTAAGCCATCCTTTCACCCCAGGCTCCTGAGTAGCTAGGACTACAGGTGCACGCCACCATGCACAGCTAATTTTATTTTTTATAAAGGTGGGGTCTCGCTGTGTTGCGCAGGCTGGTCTAGAACTCCTGGCCGTAAGGGATCCCCCTGCTTCACTCTCCCAAAGTGCTGAGATTACAGGTGTGAGCCTCCAGTGACTGACAAAATGCTTTTGAAGTGTTAAAGTAGGCTAATAGCCACTGGGTAAAAGAACAGTTAGCACGTTGATGGCCTTATGTATACATTGCCGTTACAGCTTCTAGTTTACTTGAAGTGCTGTGTTCTAACTTCCTTGTAGGCAAATATTTGAAAACGGGACCGAGGCCCGAGGAAGAGCTTTCAGAGCCCTTACATCATTAAGACCCAGAGTCTTTAAGCTAAGCTCAGCATTTCTGAGCATGTGCTGATTTTAGGAAGTGAACAGTTCTTGTATTGAATCACAACGGAAAAAAGTTAATCGTCTCTTAGTTCCGTAACCCTTCAGTTGGCTCAACAAGAAAGTTTCTGTTTGGTGCTAGTAAGTCATTAGCGCCTGCCTCTCCAACACTCGCTCATCTCTCTTTAACAAAGAGAATTTACTAACACTGAGCTTTGGGGGCTGTGCCCTTGTAATTGAAAGGTAAGCTTTGTCTGTGGGTCTCGTGAGTTCCTCTTCCTCTTGACATTAGTTGATTTTGCAGACATCTATTTACGGAAATACTCAGAGATTCAATGTACGTACCCAGCCAACACTGACAGGTGAATGGCTGCAACCCAGATGTGGTTTGTTTTTTTTATTATAAATATTATTATTGATTTTTATTTTGTTATTATTCCTTCATAATAGTAATCTTTAAAGCCTACTTACGTGTTTTACATACTTTTATCTACCTATGGGTTGTACATGTATTATCATAATAAAAAATTAATTAACTGGATTAAAAAGAAGATGGTAGTGATCTCACAATCCAGCCCCAGGTGCTTCTCAGAAGCAGAGGCGAGGACCGGCTGGGGACACTGCAGTAGTGGGCTGGGGTGTTGCTTACTTCACCATTCTCAGCCAAGGGCCCAGCAGTGGCTCCTCTGGGGTCTCCTTAAAAGGTGGCTGGCTGCCCCTGGCTTGCCCCAAGCTATGGGTCAGAAGTTCCTAGAGTAAGGCCTGACTTTATGTATTTTATAAAACATAAGTAATTTTCATGAGCACTGGTGGTTAACATCAACTGTTTGGAGCTTTTTGTGTTTGTTTATTTAAAATAGAAGCTGTCCCTCACTTTCATCCCAAGAGGTTTCTTGCCTGGGGCGGTCAACACGTCTTGGCAAGTGCTAGATCCCTGGTTTAGTTTTTGCCATAGCTTGGCTGTTACTGCGAAGATAAGTCCTCTCACTAAGCCCTGTGGGTGTGCATGCATGCCTGTGTGCTTCTGTGTGTGCTGTGGACCCTGTGTGTTCCAATAATGGATCCTGGGACTCAGTAAACGCAGTGGCTAAAAGGACATCTATGCTGATGAAATCGTCTCTGCCTGCACTGCCCATATGGTAGCCACTAGCCATGTGTGGCCACTGATCCTGTAAAGGGAGGCTAGTCCAAAGTGAGAGGTACTGTTAGTGTAAAATACACACTAGATTTTGAAGACTTAGGACAAAAAAACAAGTATGTAATGTTTCTCATTAGTCAGTTTTATGTAAATTACATATTGAGATGTTCATATATTAGATAGGCTGGACATGATGGCTCATGTCTATAATCCTAGCACTTTTGGAGGCCAAGGCAGGCAGATGGCTTGAGCCTAGGAGTTTGAGACCATCCTGGGTAACACGGTGAAACCTCATCTCTACTAAAAATACAGAAAATTAGCTGGACATGGTGGCGCGTGCCTATAGTCACAGCTACTCAGGAGGCTGAGGTGGGAGAATCACCTGAGGCTGGGAAGTGGAGGCTGCAGTGAGCCGTGATTGCACTACTGCACTCCAGCCTGGGCTATGGGAGTGAGACTCTGTCTCAAAAAAAAAAAAAAAAAAAAAAAGCTATATCAAATTAAATAAAAGATATTATTAGAATTAATTTCCCTTGTTTCATTTTATTTTTAAACATGACTACTAGCGGAAAGGCCTGAAATGTTCTGGTTCTAACTTCAGGGCCTTTGCTCTGTTGCCTCTGCCTGGAGGGCTTTTTCTTCTGAGCTTAGCCTACCTATTTTTCCTTGTCCTTTGGGTCTCAACTCAAAGGTTATCTATTTCAAGAGGCCCTTTTTATTTTTATTTATATTTTCTTAGAGACAGGGTCTCGCTCTGTCACTCAGGCTGGAGCGGAGTGATGTGATCATGCTTCACCGCAGCCTCAACCTCCCGGGCTCAACCAATCCTGCAACCAAGGCTGCAGTAGCTCCAGAGTAGCTGGAACTATAAGTGCATGCCACCACGCCCGGCTAATTTTTAATTTTTGTAGAGATGGGGTTTTGCTGTGTTTCCCAGGCTGGTCTCAAACTCCTAGACTCAAGTGATCCTCCTGCCTTGGCCTCCAGCAGTGCTGGGATTACAGGCGTGAGTCACTGCGCCTGACATGAGTCCCTTCTTGACCATCCACTCAAAAGAAGCCCCCTGGTTACTCCTAATCACACCTCTTGACTGTACTTTCTTCACAACAGTTCCCATGGTTTGCTATGTCCTTGTTTATTTGTGTTTATTGTTTCTTGTGTGTTAATCTGGTGCCTCCTCTAGAACGGTAGCTCTAGGGAAACAGGAATTTCAATTATTGGTTAACATTGTGTCAACCAGACACAATACATAGAATAATGCCTGGAAGAAGAGGAGCTTAATCAATGTTTGATGGATGGAGGGATGGGTGGGTGGCGAGGTGGATGGGTGGATGACTAGATGTGTTGGGAATGACAAAATTTTATTTTTTGGTCATTTTCATAATAGTGATACTTCTTTTTCTCTTCCTTAGGTCTTGAAAGGGGACTATAAAACACCAGCCAATCTGAAAGGGTATTTTCAGGTTAGAAACCCCAAGGAGAATTCCGAATTCTGTCTTTCTCAGCTATACCTCCAGCTGGCTGTATGCCCTTGGATGTGTCACTTCTCTACTCTGGTTGATGCGGGCTGGCTGCCTGTAATCCCACCACTTTGGGAGGCTGAGGCAGGTGGATCACAAGGTCAGGAGTTCAAGACCAGCCTGACCAACATGGTGAAACCCCATCTCTACTAAAAATACAAAAATTATCCAGGCGTGGTGGCACACACCTGTAATCTCAGCTACTCGGGAGGCTAAGGCAGGAGAATCGCTTGAAGCCAGGAGGCAGAGGTTGCAGTGAGCTGAGATCACGCCACTGCACTCTCTAGCCTGGGCAACAGAGCAAGACTCCATCTCAAGAAAAAAAAAAGTGGGGGGTGCTGTGGTGATGTGGGCTGGACCAGAGGGTCTCTAAGCACTGATCCGGCTGGGGCCACATCTCAGTGGCCCTTCTGCCAGGGAGCAGCCTTTCACTACATCTTCTGGCTTGAATGCAGTTGGAGGGACTTTGTGGGGACTTCTTTCTTGGGCTTTCTTTCTTTTCTTTCCTTTTTTTTTTTTTGAGACTGGAATGCAGTGGTGTGATCATGGCACGCTGCAGCCTCCTTCTCCTGGGTTCAAGCAATCCTCCCACCTCAGCCTCCCAGGTAGCTGGGACTACAGACACACACCACCATGCCCGGTTAATTTTTGTGTTTTTTTTGTAGAGACGGGGTTTTGGCATGTTGCCCAAGCTTGAGTTGTATTATTTATAATAAACAGGTAGCAGTTAGTAAAGTGTGCTCCTGTGTCCTTTGAGCTGTTCTAGTGAATTATCAAACCAGAGTGGGGGTTGTAGGAACCTCCAGATCTGTAGTTGACTGGGAAGAAGTGTGGATAGCCTGCGCACCCCATTGCAGCTGGCATCTAAAGTAGGGCAGTTTGGGAACTGAGCCCTTAATCTATGGCAGCTGATGCTAAGTCTGGGAGTCGGTGTCAGAACTGAACTGAATTGTTGAACGCCCAATTGGTATCCAGATAATCAGAATTGGTCACTGATATTGGAAGACACCCATAAGCCAATATCTGAAAGATTAAAACTAGGTCTGCCACACAAAGCTCTGGATAGAAAAGGCTTCCCAGCAGAGGGAACCATGAACACCTGAAAGCGGGGAGGGTGGCCGAAACCTCTGGAATGCATGTGCACTTTTGCATTCGTTGCAATTATATTTTTGTTTGTTTCTATCTCAATGTGATTTACAGGAATGTTCATTACCGTTTTAATGTTCAAGCTGCCTTGTTTTGCTTTCTTAATATTTTCCTATCTTTTGAGTTTCACTGGCACCATTTTGGACAGCTACGTAGCGTTCTGTGGAATGCATGTGCTACCATTTACTAAACAGCTTCTTCAAGACCATTTCCAGTTTTTACGACATCCAGAATGACATTATGTGCACAGTGGAGGACAGTAGGGAGATGAGGGTTGGAAATAGAGGCTTGACACAACTTACCTGCAAGGCAGCCCTCCTGAGCATAGGGGTATGCCGTTCCTTCGTATTTTGTTCCTAAAAGCAACAAAAACCAGTCCCAGGTCAGCTAGACATCTTGCATACATCATACACTGCAGGGAAGTATAAACTGCCCTAACCCTTTTTGTTTGTTTGTTTGTTTGTTTTTTGTTTTTGAGATGGAGTTTTCCTCTTGTTGCCCAGGCTGGAGTGCAGTGGTGCAGTCTCGGCTCACTGCAGCCTCTGCCTCCCAGGTTCAAGCCATCCTTCTGCCTCAGCCTCTCAAGTAGCTGGGATTATGGGCACTGGCCACCATGCCCAGCTAATTTTTGTATTTTTAGTAGAGAAGGGGTTTCTCCATGTTGGCCAATCTGGTCTCGAACTCCTGACCTCAAGTGATCCACCCACCTCGGCCTGCCAAAGCTCTGGGATTACAGGTGTGAGCCACGGCACCCAGCCAAGATACCCTTATTCTTTCAGAGATTCCAAGGGTTTGGGGAGCTGTGTGCCAGGAACTGGGGACAGTGACCAAATATTTATTATTACACCACAGCTGAAATGCCATCGTGTAGAGTCCTTTCCTGGCCACCGTTTTTGAAATAGCACAGATACTGATCACTCATAGCAGCCTGTCACATTGCGCAGGTTTGACATTATCTTGCATCTGTGCATGTTCAATACGCTTTTTCTCCAACTTGAACGTAAGTTCCGTGATCCTAGGTTTGGGTCTGTCACACTCACCACGCTATCCCAGCACATGGCACATAGTAGATGTACAGTAAATACTCCATGAGTAAGCATGTGCATGCCTCAGTGATGCTGAGGGGTGACCCTCAAGACAGTGAGGCATCCCCCACCTGGCTGTGACCCCTTCCTCTGTGTATTGTCTTTCTCCAGGTGAACCAGAACAGCACCTCCTCCCACTTAGGAAGCTCGTGATTTCCAGGTAAGCCTGTGGACTTCACTGGGGGTTCCCGCTGCTTCTGGGTGGCCCCAGAGCCACTTTTCTGAAAAGCCACTTTTCTGTCCTTCCAGAGCCTCCCTGGGGGAGTCATGTCCACTAGGGTGGGCTGACCCAGCCCCATCGGAGGTTTCCATGGTGACAGACTGGGGATGCTATTTATAGAATCAAGGCTTAGTCTTCTAGCTCTGGATCAAGGACAGGGAGAGGGATTAACGCTGAACCAACCAGAAAAAGGTTTGTCTGACACTGGGGACGGGGCAGGAAGGACCCCTATGATGGGGGACGGGGAGATTCCAGAACCATTTCTGCACAGAATGCTGTCTGCCAGTCTGGCTTCTACAAACAGCATCAGCGTTGGGCCACAGCAATTAATGTTCTAATAACAGTCACAAGCAGTTATGTTCTAAGAATAACCCCCATGGCCATTGGGCCAGGTACTGGTCCTGTGTTACTCATTTAACCCTCAGCATCCTTGGGAGGCAGATGACATGATCATTCCGTTTTACAGAAGAGAAAACCAAAGCACAGAAAAGGGCTTTGACTTGCCCAAGGCTACACAGCCATCAAGGGACAGACTTCCTCCCAGGTTTGCTTCTAGTGAATGATTTTAAGTGCACATTTATCCATCCATATTCTACTAAGGGGTGGGGAAAGGGAATTTTTGAACTTGGCAATTCAAAGATTTAAGAACTCCAGGTTTAACTTCCTTCAGCCCCTGTTTTCTTCATCTGGAGAATAGGGATTCATCATTGCCCACCTCTGAGGTTGGCCATAAGATGGCGTGAGCTGGCCCAGGTGGGAGTGCTTGGAAACTGTGAAGTGCTGGGCCCTCACTGTGGACTTGGGCACTGGAGTTAAGGCTGCATGAGTGAGCTCACTTCCTTCTGTCCCCCAGCCTCTATGATCAGGTTCAAGAAAACCTCAAGAGAGGTTATTTTACATTGAAACACAGCTTCCAGCTTGGACTCTTATTTTTAGTCTCTTCATCTATTTTTAAACAATTGGCATATGTTTTAGTTTTTCTTTCAATTTACTTTGCTCCAATCTGCAAGGACTCTGTCATTATCAGGGTTCCCATCTTGAGTTGCACTAGATCCCAGAGTTTTTGTTTTTTGGGTGTTTTTTTTTTTTTTTTTTTTTTTTTTACAGTCTCACCCTGTTGCCCAGGCTGGAGTGCAGTGGCACGATCTCGGCTCACTGCAATCTCCACCTTCTGGGGTTCAAGTGAGTCTCATGCCTCAGCCTTCCAAGTAGCTGGGATTACAAGTGGGCACCACCACACCCAGCTAATTTTTGTATTTTTAGTAGAGATGGGGTTTCACCATGTTGGCCAGGCTGGTCTTGAACTCCTGGTCTCAGTGATCTGCCTGCCTCAGCCTCCCAAAGTGCTGGGATTACAGGCATGAGCCACTGCGCCCACCCAAGATCCCATAGTTCTATTCCAAAAAAGAACTCTGTCATGAAAAACAGCTTTCCTCCCTATCATTAGTAGACTCCTGGACCTTCTCATTGACAAAGGCAGATTTGTTACTTGTTTTACTGTTTAAATGAGATATCATATACACGGCGCTTTAGCTGATCCTGGATACAGAGTTGGTCTTGAACAAACATGAATCCTGCCCTTGCCTCCAAGAATTCATCAGTATTTATCACATAATCACTGTCATTTGCTCTGTATCCATAAGAAAAGTGTATATTTGAGGTCCAGTGGATGCAAGATGAGATGTGGGGAAGAACCCAGGAAACGTTTTTAAATTTAAACTCTCGCTGGCCATCTGGGATGCATTCGTAAAACCTTACATGCTTATGCGAATGGATGAAGACAGTATGTTCTGCAATCACATGTATAAATATAAATGATCTATTTCAGAATTGTTACTCTGAGTCTAACACAGTCTTCCCCCCTTTCAGATCTCTGCAAATGAACTTCATTGCCAAGAAGAGAAGAAACTGCATTTAAGTGGAAATCGGACCTCTAATCCAAGCATATTGCTTGCTATTAATCGCCAAAACAGGACTGCTGATGAGGAATGTATTTGCATATGTTTGCAAAAGCTGAATCATTGAAAATGTACCTTGAAACTCTCTATCTTTGGACACGCCAGGGTAGAGAACGAAGGGTATGGAAGTAGTCCGGCTTTTGAAACTTAGGTATTTTATATTTTTCCCCTCAAGAACTTTTTTTTAAGAGAAAGATTTGCCATCCTCCTTAATTTGCAGGACTGCCTTGGTGGCTTTGTTTGCTGGGACAAGGCCCACAAACTGTGCCTCTCCTATTGACCCTTACTTTGAATTCAAAGAATCTATTTAAGAATTTAATATATGAGGCTTTCTTTGATTCCTCCTCAGTTCTACCTAGTTTCACAGAGAAAAAAAAATACTCTTTGAATAAAGTGAACAGGGGCTCATTTGTTTATGTCTTACTTTACTGAATGAATAGGGTTTTTTTTTTTTTTCTTTCCATACTGGATTTTGTCAGGGAGATTTGTGATGAGCAAAAAGCTGGGGAATATAGGTGCATGTAAGGCACAGCCGAATTCTTGTGTTGGGATCCCCAAGGCCACCCCCAGAATCGATGATTGGCTAGAACTCAGAATTCAGAAGAACTGTTATCCTCATGGTTATGGTTTATTACAGCAAAAGGATGCACATTAGAATCAGCAAAACAGGCTGGGTGCAGTGGCTCATGCCTGCAATCACAGCACTTTGGGAGGCAGAGGCAGGAGGATCACCTGAGGTCAGGAGTTCGAGACCAGCCTGGCCAACATGGTGAAACTCCGTCTCTACTAAAAATACAAAAATTAGCTGGGTGTGGTGGCGGACGCCTGTAATCCCAGCCACTCAGGAGGCTGAGGCAGGAGAATCGCTTGAACCTGGGAGGTGGAGGTTGCAGTGAGCTGAGATCGTGCCATTTTATTCCAGCCTGAGTGACAGAGCAAGACGCCATCTCAAAATAAAATCAGCAAGAGAAAAAGGTGCACAGGGCAGAGTCCAGGAGAGACCAGCCTCAAGCTTCCAGTTGTCCTCTCCCAGTAGAGTCTTACAGACATGCTTAATTTTCCCAGCAGTGATATGTGACACCACATACTAAATATTACCAGCCAGAAAGCTCACCCTAGCCTTGGGGTCTAGGTTTTTATTGCATGTCAGTCACATGGGGCAATCACATGACTGACTTTAGTTACGTAATCACCAGCCGCTCCAGAGGTCAAAATGATACAGCATGGCCCAAGGTCCCCACCGTAAACCACATTATGAGCACAAACTATCTGGCCTGGTACGGCCCAAGGCCTGAGGTATATAAAGACACCCCTATTTGGGAGGATATTCGAAGGACTTAGAGGTTATCTCTCAGGAGCCCATTAAGGCCAGTTTTTTCTTTGAGATGTGCTGGGTTTGGACACTTCAAGCCTGCTGAGTTAACCCTTTATAGCAGTCACCAAATGCTGAGGGACGAACTAGGCCTACAATAAGTTTGTATCTTTAAGGGTTAAGGTGTTTTACCCATACCTCCTTGCCTTATATCTCATGATAATATGAGGCTTTTGGAAGGCAGTGACTTATTGTGGCTTGGAGCATGGGTTTTTGGAGTCAGTCTGACCTCCTGGCTGTATGGCTTGAGACTTTGTCTCTTCATCTATAAAATGGGGAAGTTAAAAGTTCGTAGTGTGTGTGTGTGTCTGTGTGTGTTCAGACAGAATCTCGCTGTGTCACTCAGGCTAGAGTACAGTGGCGTGATCATAGCTCACTGCAGCCTCAGTCTCCTAGGGTCAAGTTACCCTCCCAGCTTAGCCTCCTGAGTAGCTGGGACTACAGGCATGTGCCACCACACCTGGCTTCTTTTTATTTTTATTTTTACTTTATCTTTTTTTTTTTTGTAGAGATGAGATCTTTCTATGCTGTCCAGGCTGAACTTCATGGTTTTATTGGGGATGGCTAATGGATGACGTTGGTGGTGGTCCTTGGTACCAGATAAGCCCTCAGTGTGAAGCAGCTCTTATCTCTCCTTGTCTTGAGACTGCTCTGGAATGGTAATTAGGCTTTTTTGAAGGTGTGACCCTTTTTGTTCATTTCTTCAGCAGTTACTTATTATTTTTTAAATTTTTGACACACAGTCTCTGATAAATGATCATTCACCAATCACCGATTACTCTCCTTGCTCTGTTAAGTGTGACACTGTCCCTTTGAGAATCTGGTGACAGCTGTGCATCCCCTCCCCCACACACACCAAAAAAAAAATTTATGTCTGGTTCCAGGAATTACCTTTTATGAGAAGTCCATCCATGAAGACCCTGGATATTCAGAGAGCTTCCTGGGAAAACACTGAAAGAAAATAAAGAGGCTGGGCCTGGTGGCTCATGCTTGTAATCCCAGCACTTTGGGAGGCCAAGGTGGGCAGATAACCTGAGGTCAGGAGTTCGAGACCAGCCTGGCCAATGTGGCAAAACTCCATCTACCAAAAATACAAAAATTAGCTGGACGTGGTGGTGCATGCCTGTAGTTGCAGCTACTTGAGAGTCTGAGGCAGGAGAATTGCTTGAACCCAGGAGGCAGAGGTTGCAGTGAGCCAAGATCATGCTATTGCACTCCAGCCTGGGCAACAGAGCAAGACTCCATCTCAAAAATAAAATAAATAAAATAAAATAAATAAAATTTCTGTCTCTAGCCCCCAAGTGGTAGCACTGGGTCTTGTTCCCTGAAAAAAACTAGGCTCAGAATCCACTCTCATTTCATCTCCTCTGATTTGATCTGAAAAGATTTTGTTTAGAGTACTACATGAATATATTGTAAAACATGGGACAATCAGAATTCATGGTAAGAAGGCAAGGGGCTCTGTTTGTACCTCCTCTGAATATCTCCTTTCTTCCCTAAAGGTAATGCTACCATTTTCTATTTGTACATAGTCTTCCAGACTTTAAATTTTTGAACATATAAATATTATCATCTTAAAGATGTATGGAAAAAACCATTTTGAGTAGGTTATTCCAAAATGTAATTTAACAGATTGTTCTGCAGGATTGTTTGTTTGTTTGTTTGTTTTGGAGACAGAGTCCCGCTTTGTTGCTCAGGCTGCAGTGCAGTGGCACAAACACAGCTCACTGCAACCTCTAACTCCTGGGCTCAAGCAATCCTTTCACCTCAGCCTCCTGAGTGGCTGGACCATGACAAGGGGCTAACTTTCTATTTTTTGTAAAGAGGGGAATTACTGTGTTGCCCAGGCTGGTCTCAAACTCCTGGCCTCAAGCAATCCTGCCTCAGCCTCTCAAAGTGTTGGGATTACAGGCGTGAGCCACCGCACCTGGCTCCTGGAGCGTTTCTGAAGTGAACATGTGCTGATCTAACACCATGCCTTTTACCAGCTGCCTGTTCTAGAGCAAACCATCTTTTTTTTTTTTTTTTTTTTTTTGAGACGGAGTCTCGCTCTGTCCCCCAGGCTGGAGTGCAGTGGCGCAATCTCGGCTCACTGCAAGCTCCTCCCAGGTTCACGCCATTCTCCTACCTCATCCTCCTGAGTAGCTGGGACCACAGGCGTCCGCCACCACGCCCGGTTAATTTTTGTATTTTTAAGAGACGGGGTTTCACCGTGTCAGCCAGGATGGTCTCGATCTCCTGACCTCGTGATCCGCCCGCCTCGGCCTCCCAAAGTGCTGGGATTACAGGCATGAGCCACCGTGCTCGGCTGAGCAAATCATGTTTTTTGAGCATTCCACTTTGGCTAGGCCCTTAGGCTGTTAGCAGTTTTCATTGCTACTAGCAAAGCTGCAGTGGATATTCTCCTGCACATATAACCTCTTGGTGCCACTGTATGAGTGAGTCTCTGCAAAATGAGAAGTAGAATTGCTAGGGTGAAAGGCACACATATTAACTTTTTTGATTAATTCCACCCATGTACCCTGATTTGGGCAGAATTTTAATCTTCCTGTGAAATCAGGGCTTTGTTCTAGAGTCTTTCTTGGGGGTTCCATGGAGCAGTGGGTCAGCCGTCACTTGTACCCTGGCGTATCCTCTGTCCAGCTTGGGCAGCATGCATCATCCATTCTGATTCCTTAATTTGCCATATGTGAAAGCATGGTAATCTATACATTACTTGGGTGCTATTACTGTATATAACTAGCTTTGGAGTCAGAACTAGTGTCTCATCCTGGCTCTACCACTTTCCAACTGTATGACTATGGCCAAGTGACTCCACTTCTCTGAGCCTCAGTTTTCCTCTTCTGTAAAATGGGGGTAAACAGATAAGAACTGTAGGGGGATCTCAGGGGATGGTTAAGAGAAATCCATGAGATAAGCAAACACATTATCTAGTTTAGTAAAGCTAAGCAATGAAGACTTACAGCCCCATGGTGAAGGCTTAACAAATGGTAGCTATAATGATTACTATTACTATTGTGAAATAAAAGATAGGTTGTGATGAACCAACCATATCTTCTCATCAGGATTTATGTTTGTCCAACTGAGAGCCAGCCATTTGTAGTCTTGACCTGGGGTTGGAGAATGGTCTCCTGCACATGTGCCAGATGGACTGAATTAGATCTTCACCCTCGTTAGCAGCCGCCAACCTGGTTGAGCCATCCAGGGCCTCAAAAGCACGTGGCAATTTTTCATTAGGGGGAAAAAAAAAACCTCTTAACCTATGTCTACCCAAAGAATAAATCCTTTACCCCTCCAGGGTAAGGGATGGACAGCTGATGGAATTACAGACCCAGGAAGCTTATGGTCACCAGTCATTGGGTAGCAGAGGACATCTAGTCTCATTCATTGTTCCACTTGTCTCTTGCGGCACAACCCAGCAGCCCCGAGCTGAGTGACTTAAAGCAACTTGTTTGGTTTTTTTGAGACAGAGTTTCACTCTTGTCACCCAGGCTGGAGCGCAATGGTGTGATCTTGGTTCACTGCAACCTCCACCTCCTGGATTCAAGCAATTCTCCTGCCTCAGCCTTCAGAGTAGCTGGGACTATAGGCGCCTGCCACCA